CCCCAAAACCCCAAAACCCCAAAACCCCAAAACCCCAAAACCCCGTATAGAGTAATTTATTGAATTATTGAACTATGATCTCTTGTTCAAGACCTTCTCCATATTTAAGCCTGGAACAACCTTACTCTGCTTGCTCCCATCTTCGTTAATGTCCATCTCATTTATAGTGTCCCAGTAGATCCCATTACTTTCTCTTCCAGACCGCTGATTCCTGTAAGATTCCTGGTTAGGACTTTGGTTTTCACTCTGGAACAAATATTGTGGGTCAAGATCACTATTTATATTCTCCATATCACTTTGCCTGTAGCTCATAACTTCACTTTCAGTCTCCATTCTCAAGGCAGCATCAAGATCGTTTTGGTTTCTAATATTTTTCTCGAAAGCATTTAGCCTCTCCATTTCTGAAAAATTGCTATCGAAGCTCTTAATCCGGTTAAGATTTGCATTAGAGTTGGGAGGAGCCTTCTTCTGTGATAGAACTTGTCTTTTATCATTGTTAAAGTTCATCTTGTAATAAGTGTTATAATCTTTATTTTCCTGCAAGTCTAGAGTGTCGTAAGCGATACTTCTTATAGGAGCCTTCTTTGGAGAACTTTGGCTACCTCTATCTGATTTTAAATTGTTAATCTCGTTTCTGAGATTTGTCAATTCGGAAGATAATTTACCATATATGTTCTCATATTCCATATCATTACTCTGACTCTTGCTCTCGTAGATGTCATCAGGTTCGACTTTATTGAATTGCGGGATTTGCTGAGTCTGTGCATTCCCTAGATAACTATCCTTGAAGCAATATTTTGCTGAGATAACTTCTTTTTCTTGCAAATCCTCTATTTCTTCTTTAAGTCTCTTTACTTGATTCTCAAGTTCTTCACGCTTGAATTTTTCCTCAAGATATTCTCTTTCTTTTAAGTCAATCTGGGTTTCAAGCTCTTCATTTCTATTCTCAAGCTGGGAGAATTTAGAGGTAGTGTTAGAATGAAGCATCTCTATCTCCTTTGTTTTCATAAGAATTTCTTCCTCTCTCACTTGGTTCTCGTCCTGAAGTTCTTTGATCTGATCCTGATACTTCTCATTTGTCTTTTTATCTAAAGTTATTATATCATTTTTACCAAGATCGTTTAGTTGGGTCTTAAGGTCATTAACGATCGCATTAAATTGAGTTTCCTTGAGCTCTAACTCTGATGTTTTGTCTTCAATTTTTTCTTCTAATTCTTTAGCTGTTCTTCTGCTTTCTTCAAGCATGGACTGGAGATTGTACATTGTCTCTTTTTGTTCATTGTTTCTTCTCTCTAGTCCAGAATTAGTAGCCTCCACATCTTTGACTTGTCTATCAATTCTTTCTAGATTTCTGATTCTATCTTGCAATTGCCTGTTCTTTTTTTTTTCTTGTTCAAGTAGAAGATTATAGTAGTGCTCGAGTTCATCTTTCATCATCGTCTTTTCTTCATCAAACTTTACACGAAGATTTTCTAGCCCTTGTAAAGCATCCTTAGAGATTGCTTGTTGTTGGACGAGGTCTTGGAGTAAGTTTTCTTCGTTTCTTTTAAGATCCTCTATGCGTCTCTTGAGGTACTCAATATGATCCTTCTTGAGCTCGCTATTTTTCCAGATTCTTCTTAGTCTTTTTATGCTTCTTCCTTTCATCTTTGATCTTCTCTACAGCTATTTGAAATTGTCCTTGTTGGGTGAGTAGAGCCTTTGATAGATTTTCAATCTCTCTTAAAATTTTATTCCTCTCAGCTATGCTCTTCATACATGAAGGACCCCCAAAAGATAGTCGGCTATTGGGAGTAGGAATTGTAGTATGACTACACCCGCTTTTCTTACCCGAAACAAGGGAAGTAGAGAAAGGAGCTAGCTTAACAATCTCAGGGTTCTTGAGTATTTTATACCCTTTCTTCTTAATAATCTTACTTCTTCTCACTGCTGTTACAGAATGATTATTTCTCGTTGAAGAATATCCTCTTTTAGGTATAGGTTTCCCTTTGGAGGCTCTTTTAAAATTCTGGACAGTCGATTCTCTCACTATAAAAAGTAAGATTTGTTTATTAAAATCCCTTACCTAACTTTCTCTTTTTAGTACTCATGGCTCTGAGACTTTTATGACCAAATTCATTATCAATGGTGGTGCTATTGATCCTTCTATTGTAACTTTTATAGCAAATTTCTTACTTCTGCTTATTTAAATGGCCTGTGATCGTCTTCACTTAGACTGTCACTATCATTGCTCGATGTAGAATTGGAATTCTTACAGAATGTATCTCCGATCTATTTATTAGAACAGCACATTACATTGAGAGATAATGGCTTCTTGTCCTTTTTGCTTGTAAAATGATTTTTGTCACCATTTCTAGCCTATGTTATTGAGAAATTTATGATATTTCATGAAAGTTAAATATCGAAGATTAGACAGAGTTAGCCAACAAAGAATAGAGATAAGGAAACATAAATTGGGCAAACTTACTGTCTTTCCTATAGCAGAATACGGGTCAGCTTGCTTCTTTCTGGGCATTTCCGGTAGTTCTTTAGATATATAAATTTAAATTTTAAACTAAAAGGGGTTTTGGGGTTTTGGGGTTTTGGGGTTTTGGGG